TGTGCTTCAGCCATCCATGTATGCTTCAGGTGAATGCTCTGGGGTTTGGGCGCCTCCCTGTGTTGTCGTTGGGTTTCCCCTCACAGTCCAAAATCATACTAAGTTTAATTGGAGGTACCAAATTCCCCATAGGCATGAATGCTGTGTGTGCCCTGCGATAAACTGGCACACCAACCTGGGTTATTCCAATACAATTTTTATCAGTCCCACCAGGTCCTAAATCCGGACCCAAGGCGATAAGTATGAATTAATGTGACTGTGATGTTCATCTTACCTGTGGCCAGTCTGTCTGCATATAGACATGACAACTTGTTTCAAATAATTTGCAACAAATGTGGTCCTTCATGTTGCATCACAAAAATATATAACATAGTGGTTTCTTTCTACAAGTATTCAGCATTCTGTTAGAAAAATGATTCCCATTAGTGGACACCTCATCAAATGAAACAACCCTTCCTTACAGTTTAATAGGCAGTATAGATCCTATATACGTCTGAGTATGTTTAGCCAAAGTTGCTTTTCTGTGAACCTCTCACATAATGCTTAAAGTACAGTGTCCAGTGAATCATGAACACAAATCAAAATTCGATGACTATGGCTCTACCATGAGACTGTAAACATCATTTGTCTTCCTGGGATGGTGAAGGTGAGACAGATGGGGACAGGCAGGGCAGTAATACTGTCACATTTAGTCCGGTATCCTCCATCTTGTTAGGGGGCCCTGTCAGAGGACCATGATCCATGTTGGGTTGTGGAGAGTTCTTCCTGGAGGATGGCATCCCTCTCCAGCAAGTTCTCGTCACTCTGGCCCCTCAGGGCGAGGTAGCGCTGTGACACCACCTGCCAATCTGTCACCTGCTCCACACGCACCTGCCCACTGGTCCTGGAGGGCCGTGCAAAGCCACCTAAGCCGAGGAGACCAGGAATTAATGGGACACTAGCCGTCACCCACGTGACGAGACACAAGGAAAAAGGTCATACTTACCTTCTGGGAGAATCTGTGTCCTCTTGTTGCTCCTCATCCAGCCAATGGAGGTACGCGCCAGCATGTCCAGAGACCTTGTTTCTGAGAGGCCCTCGGTGTCCTCCTCCTCAGTCATCAGGTCTCTGGCCTCAGAGGAGCAGACCTTCCCTGAAGACCATGGTATGGGACAACTTACATCTGCTTGAATATAGTACACAGTACTCCCACTAGTGACCAGGGTTTCCCAGTCATTGGCACTATCGGGAAACAAAACATCTATCTTCCCACTACTTTTCCAATCCAAGGACATGGGCCAGAAGTAAGGGCACACACTGGACAGGATGCCAGGCCATTGCAGGGCACATGCAGGTACAAACTCACACACTATGGGATGCCAATTAGCCTATCTGCGTGTCTTAGGATTACAGGATGAAACCAGTAGTAATTGGAAAAAACCTCTGTGACGCAGGGAGAACATGCAAACTCTACTCATAATCCAGTGACTGCAATCCCCACTGAGCCACCATTATCATGACGTGATGAATGATCATGGTTACCTCCATGTTTGCAGAGCACCTTGATGTAGAAGAAGAGGTTGGTAAAGAGGTTAAAGGGGGATGGGGTGCCAGACTTGCGGTTCATGTCCCGGATGAGCACGGCCCGGCCGAACTTCCACTCGGTGTCGGACTGGGCTTGGATTCGCTGGTAGGTGTCGCTCATCATGGCAATCAGCAGGTTGATCAGCACGATGACTGTCACCACCAGGTAGATCCCGAACACCACGCGGGTGACCACACCGGCGAACGCCGGGGACCGGCTCAGGGGCGGCATGGAGTCGGGCTCGATGAGGCCGAAGAGGGCGAAGAACAGCTGGATGGAGATATCCAGGGGCGTCTGTATGTCAGTGCCGTTGTCCCCATCGGGGTCGCAAGTGAAGCCCTCGGGATAGACAGGCTGGTAGACGGCCGAGAGAGTCATGGTGAAGGCAGTGTGGAAGAGAACCAGGATGACCGCGAAGCGGCCCAGGTCCTTCATGAGGTCCCTGATGATGATAGCCCAGGGGCCAAACAGGTGGTGGAAGGTCAGGAACTCCAGAAGCTGCACAAAGCTGAGCGTCATGGCGACCGCCAGGAAGATGTTGCGGGCGAACAGGCAGTGGAGGTGAGCGGGGTGCAGGAAAGCGAAGGCTAGCAGGTGGCAGAAGAAGCCTACAGCCGAGAAGCCCAGGACGAGCAGTCGGATCCAGGCCAGACCGGCTCGCTGTCCGGGCTGAGTCAGCTCCGACACCAGCATCCCCGACAGCCAGAGCAACAGCAACCACTCGCTCCAGTCTGGCCACAGGTGTCCCTGGTGGATAGGGTTGACCGGAGGGTAGACTATGGTGAGGATGAAGAGAATCAGGAGGAAGATGTGCGACACCAAGTGGCTCATGAACTTCACGATGGGGATGGTGCTGAAGCGGTGCCCAAGGGGCAACGAGAGGACCAGCCAGAGGGGGGGGCACGCCAACAGGCCAAAGAAGAACAAGGCGATCCGCCAGGAGGGCCAGCTGAGGCTGCCGTACCACACCTCGGTCAGGTGCTTCTGCACGGCTGGGTGCGAGACGGTGGCCTTCTGCTGGCCCTCGATGAGGCAGTCCAGCACACTGGCGCCACGGTGGTCCACTGCACGCAGGATGGCGGCGGTGCCCACGGTGCCCCCTGAGGCCGCAGTCAGCAGCTCGGTGGCCATGCCCTCGCAGTAGCGTGCCGCCGCCAGAAGGTCCATGGCGCGCTCCTTCTCCCGCAGCGCCGCCAGGCCCAGCGCCCGCGACAGCTTCACGGCCGTGTCCAGCGGTGCCGTCGAGTGCAGCGCGAACTCCTGCAGGGCCCGGTTGTTGTTCAGCTTCCCGCACACCATCAGGTCGAAGACGAACTGTGGAGGAAAGGCAGGAGGCCGTTAGGGAGGGGGGTACAGGTGGGACACCCCCAAGGATGGGAAAGCAGACGAGATAAATCCATGGAGATCTGGACCCCAGGTCCCTACAACCCAACCTGTACCATCTGCGATTCCTTAATACTATCTGTGGTCTAAGGCCCTTCCTCAGCCCAGACACACAATAAAATCTCCTCTCCCTAAATGCCCAGTAAAATGCTCCAACCCTGATCTACTAAAGCACTCCCATATACATAAATCATACTGCACGTCATAAAAGATTCAGACACTCTTCAAACTTGTTTCTTCCAAAATAAGGTTAAAATAGTCAAAATCAGACTAAAACAATCAGAAAATCTTATGTGAAAATAAGCAAATGCATTTACCTTGCATGATATTAAAGGCAAAAATTTTAAGACAGATTTTTTTTTTATAAATTTTTTTAGATACTACCTAAAGTTCGGAACATATTAAAGCTTTACTACCCTCTAGTGGCTGGCTGTCAAAAAATGAACTAGCATACATTTATTTCTTTCTGAGGTTCACTGTTCCTATAAAATCATAATTAGTGGGCTAACAATCGATGTAACATGATAGTAAACAATAGATTTTATAATATGAGCATATACATGGGATTAGGACACACAAAGACATGGACGCAGAAATCCAGACATCCATGCATTAGGGGCTCTGGGCAGGGATAATGTAAAGTGCTTTGAGACAATGTAATGTTGTGGAAATGTTGTGCGCTATACAAATAAAATTGAACTTAACTGACTTGAATAAGCACAGAAGAGCACACACACATTCATAAACACACACACAGATAACATACACACAGACACATTCATACACACATACATCCATATACAAAGATACACACACATACATTCATAAACAGAGATAAACACACACACAGATAACATAGACACAGATACACACACACACACACACACAGAAACACACACTCACAAAAATTCATACACAGAGATAAATACACATCCATACACAGAGATATACACACACATCCATACACAGAGATAAATACACATCCATACACAGAGATAAACACACACATCCATACACAGAGATATACACACACACACACACACATACACAGGTATACAGAGAGGGCAGTATGGCCCAGGTTCTGCTCTCCATCCTGGGGGGGGGGGTGTGGGGGGGCGGCCCACCTTCCTGTCCTCCAGCAGACGCAGGGTGTTGCTTCCCCGGCATAGCAGAAAGCTGACGGTGCCCTGGTGGTTCTCCTCGGCCGCGTACTGGATGGCTGTGCGTCCCTCCCGGCACTCCAGGCGCGCCGACGCCCCGCTCTCCACCAGGAAGCGCACCATGGCCAGGCGGCCTGCCTTGGCCGCGTAGTGCAGGGGGGTGCAGCCGTCCTGCGGGCCGCGGGGGACACGGGCAGGCCTCAGAGTGGCACCGCCAAAGTTACAAATCTCCCACCAGGCTGAAACGCCTGTGTTTTTCTTTTTTTTTTTCTTTTTTTTTAACACGGGACATTAAAAAACCCAATAAATTCAGCTTGGCAGCCAGGAGCAAACACTGCGGTCTAAAAGCAGGCCAGGCTAGTAAAGTTAAAGCATCATATCCCCCACAATGCCGCAGGGATCGGCAGCTTACGTCTCCAAGCTGCAATAAAACTAGGCGCACCGCCCTACATGGCCTGGAGGGGGCGCCCTCTCACCTTGTCCGTGTGGTTGGTCTCCGCCCCCTGTCCCAGCAGCACCCTAACCATGGAGATGTGCCCGTTGGCCGCTGCCAGGTGCAGGCAGGTGCGTCCCTGCCGGTCCTTCAGCTGCAGATACGAGCTGGACTTGCTCAGCAAGAGACCCACCACTGCCGTGTGGCCGTTTTGGGCGGCCAGGTGCAGGGGGGTGGATCCCTGGGAAGGGGGAGGAGGGGCAGGAGAGTGTCAATCAAAGACTTCCTCTTTTTGACAGGAAGCCACGAGGAAGCCAGAGACTGCATATCAGTGGAAAAAGAATTTGATGAATGAGAGGAAACGTGTCACGTTAACGTCTTAATATTTAGCACGAGGGACATTTTTGTGCGTGAAAACGTGACAAAAGGCGCTCTCTGATTTCAGAGCGAGCAGCGTGAATTCAGCGTGGCGGCTTGGGAAAGTGCTGTTCATGGCAGGATGGGCGCTACGGGTTTGTTTTACGGGGGACATAAAGGGGGACCTGCCTGAACGTCTGTCTCCGCGTCTGCCTGCACCCCGGGGTAGTTCAGCAGCAGCCGCACCAGACTCTCGTGGCCGGACTGGGCAGCCAGGTGCAGGGGAGTGTACCCGGACTGGAGACGGCACACAACACACACTCAAAGAAACATTCTGTAAATCCACTGCAAATTGCCTTTCCATCTGTGTGACAGGATTGTATTATAAAAGAACACGGGAGGATTGTTCAAAGGCGGAATCGCGTCACCAGTAGGTGTGCGGGGAATTGTGCCCGTTGTGGGACAGAAGGCAGGATTGCTAATACCTCTACGGGCAGCTGATGGCCTGGCGCACCATCCTGGGTACTGGCAGAAGGGGGCTCACTGCGCATGGTGGCCAACATCTTGGTGAGGATCTCCCTCACAAAGTCCACCTGGCCGTAACAAGCGGCTACGTGGAGGGCCGAGAGTCCCGACTGAGATCCAGACACGCAGAAACACACACACACACGCAACAGAACACGTGTTACGAAATGCCTGAACGCTTCCGTGCTGGGTCACTCAGTCTGAATGCTTTAATGGCAATGCGCTACCTTGGTGCTGCTAATATTCCAGGAGATGCTGCTCTTGAGCTCCTCCAGCAGGTGCGTGTGTCCGTTCTTGGCCGCTAAGTGAATTGCAGTCATCCCGTCCTGCAAGGTACCGACACAGTGAGGCAAAACACTGCACTGTGTCCCCCAGTGTACTTAGGCACAGGGAGTTACTCACTGCGTTTTCCTCGGCCGCAGATGCCCCCGCCTCCAGCAGGACCTTAACCACCTCGGAGTGACCCCCGCTGGCCGCTAGGTGCAATGGACAAGAACCCTTTGTCTGGAAAGAGTACAAAATAGGAAGTAGGGGGAGGGGTATATGAAAGGGGGTGAGGTTTAGAATAAGAAAGGGGTGGGGTTTATGTTAAATAAAGGGGGTGGGGTTTAACATAAGGAAGATGGGAGGAACATGACTAACACAATCGAACCCACTGCAAGGACCAAAAACCTTTCGGATTTTAATAGACTTTAAGTGGAAAATGTGTGAATGTGAAGGAGAGTAAAATATATATCAGCATGTTTGATTGTGCGAGTGTGAGCGGGAGGGGCTCGAGGTTGCATTTTGGCCGCATAATTGTTTCAGTATTTGGAGTACAAAAGCAGGCCACTTTGTAAATGTTCCCACGGTGGAAGGAAAGCGGCGAGCGTATCTGTCACAGCCTCATCTAAAAGTTAACGACGAACACGCTGTTGTGGTCCAGCTACCCAGACGATCCCGCAGCTCTGTGGCCGGCGTGTCCTGTCCCAAGACTAATGCATTTCCCATGAAGATCTGGTGTGGCTGCATGGTCAAGCCCACTCCCCTCTGCTGACGCAAAGGCCTTTTAAACGACTTCATTTATGAAAATTACGACATCGCCGGAGAAAACTTTATCATCTGGCTTCATGGCCTATCATGTAATTGCCTTCGTAAATGGTTTTCATCACTGACTCGCCAGCCCACAGTCTTTTAATGAGGCTCCTGCACAGAGATCTTGAGCACGGTCTTGAGGTTCTCTGTCTGATCAACTTCATCACCATACACTCATAGTATGCACAACATTGAATGGTAGCCATTTTGGTTCTTTCTTTAACATACGTTAAAGTATTTCGCTAATGACGCAGCCGTCAAGCGGATGTCGGTTTCAGCGGATGCCTTAAAATCCTCCGCTGTAGGCATACCCCTCCAGACCCCCCTGATCGGAGGAGGGCACCCCGACCTGACCTTGTTGTGGGGGGATGTCATGCCCCCCTTGTTGAATTTAAGGAGCTCCTTGATTACGGCCACGCTGCCCTTGGAAGCGGCGATGTGGCCGCAGGTGGCTCCCTCCATGTTGGCCAGTGTGGCCAGCTCAGGACGGTGCTTCAGGAAGAGCTTCACCACCTCGGAGTGGTCGTTCTCCGCCGCCAGGTGCAGGGGGGTCTGTCCGTGCTGGGGGCGGGGAAGAGGGCGGAGGGCTGGTTACTCGTGACGGGGCCCCGGGGCATGTGCCATGCTGGCAGGGCGGAGACTCACCATGTCACAGGCGTTGACGTCGGCCTTCATGTTGAGCAGGCAGCTACACACGTCAAGCTGTCCTCTGGCAGCAGCTATATGCAGGGGCGTCTGTTTGTTCTGTGGAGAGATGCACAGAAGGTGTCGGAAATAGAGAGTAACGCAAGCTGTGCTTTACAGTACACCGGGGATGTATCTCTCCCTCTCAGACTATTTCACACACGTTTAGGTATGATACAAAAACATTAAACATACAGTACTATAGTTAACATATAAAGCATGATGAAGTGATGTGCAACGCAGTGGTTTCCAACAGGTTGATCTCTAAGACATTCCTAATCGATTGCGGCACCGTCACATCATTCAAAATCTACCGCCCTGCCCTGGTTTGCAACCAATACCCCCGCCTCATGACTTGGTAGTTTCCCACATAATATTAATTGTAGAAGAAGCTCTCATGGTAAGCTTGGAGACCGCTGGTGTAAAGAGTACCTCTCAACCAGGTTTATATATTCACCCAACCCTTTAGTTTTTTCCAGGTCAAAGTTGACATGCTGATATTTTGAAGGAATCTGAGCAATAGGTAGCAGAAGCTGACCACCAGCAGACCGTCGTTGGTTTAATGCGGTTAGACAAAGGTGCAGAGCGTTGAGGTTCTCACCAGGGACAGAGCGTCGATGCTGGCCTGGTGTGTCTCCACCAGCAGCTGCACCAGCTGGGTGGAACCACTCTGGGCGCCAAGGTGAAGCGGGGTCATGCCCAGCTTGGTTTTGGCGTTGATGAAGGCCTTGTGGGAGAGCAGGATGTCAGCGATCTCCTTGTGGCCATGTTCGGCTGCCAGGTGAAGTGTGGCCTTGCCGTGCTGAACACGGGAAAACACAACAGGAGTACCATCATTACCTCGACAACAGTGACACTGTGGTAGACCTGATGTGACCATTTGAGAGAGAGACCAGTAGAAAAGCTCTATGCACAAATCACACAGGGTTTGAGTCTTCTTGAGGTTTCCACTGCAAGTTACGCAGAGCTGCCAGGAATTTCCACGGATGACTCACCTCATCAAAGACGTCCACCCGGGCTTGGTTCTCGAGCAGGATGGTGACTGCCTCTGTGTGGCCCATCTCGGCAGCCAGAAGCAGGGGTGTCCAGCCATTCTGACAGGACACAGCAGCACACAGTCCTCAGCACCACCCAGCCAGTACCAAAAACGTGCATCTTCTCTTGTCGAGCATTTCACACTCGAGCAAATGCTCGTCAACGAACAGAATGGGATTATAACCCTCGTGACACTAGAATAATAAAGGTGGAATGGGACATGAAAGATGTGCTTCGTCGTGAAGGAGTGGGAGGTGGGGGGGGGCGCAGTTCAGTACCTTGGCCAGCTTGTTAACAGCCTGCTGCACCTGGCTGAGCTTCACATTGGTGAGTATCTCCTTCAGGATGCCAGTGTTACCAACCCGGGCACAGTAATGCAAAGGGGTCTCCCCTGTCTGTGGAAAATGCAGGGGTTCCATCCAATTGGGTGCAGGACATAAACACACACACACACACACACACACACACAGCCCATTTCACACGCTACACCCAGGTGGTTCGCAGTACCCCTCTAGTGGTCGCAGTGACGTTTGCGTCATACTCCATAAGGGTCTTGATGACGCGGATGTCTTCTCCTTCACAGTGGGTCATGTCCGTCTCGAGCTCTGCAGCCAGGTGTAAGGGCGTCTCTCCTTCCTCCGGTCAGAAGGCAAACAGAGAGATAAATGCCAATAAACCTACAGTTTTCTGCACACTGGCTGGAACGCTGGAAGGACCGATCTCAAAGATAGAGCCGACCACCAGGCATCCAGGAATTTTTTTATAGTGGTAAAAATCATAGATATTTTTATACACCATTAAAAAATAAAATAGTATGAAGTCTGTGCATTCTGCTCTGACACTTGGACAGCACTCAGATGACGTCTAGAACAGTGTGTGCCTGTGTTCTACAGAAGGCGTTCTGCGCTGTAGGTGAAGGAGGACACCGTGACGAACGCTTCACAGCTCCATCCGCTAGATGTGGCACCAGCCAGCCACACAGAGGCGCCAAATCCTTGCACAGAGACTCTCAGTCGGCGGCAAGAAAGTACATGAATATTGTGAATCACCATGCAGCGATTCTGACAAGTTTCCAGAGGAAGAAGGGAGCAAACATAATTCTGTATGACGAGCCACGATCCACCCACCATTCAGCTGGATGTGCCTCTTCTGCGGCTCACCTGGTTCTCCTGGTTGGCGCACTGCTGGGCCTCATCACGGCCCTTCTGACTGGCCAGGTAGGCGAGGATCTCCTCCACCACGTGGGCATGGCAGTGGCGCACGGCGATGTGCAGTGGGTTCTCCCCAGCCTTGGGGGGGGGGGGAGTGCGGGATTTGCACCGGACCCAACATCGTCACCCGTCAGATGTGCCGTTGAGATAGGGCTGTTACCTTAGAGCGCCTGGTGAGATCTCCACCCTCCTCAATCAAGGCTCTCAGCATCTGCAGGTTGCCGTGGTGGGCTGCTTTGTGCATAGCTGTCTCCCCATTCTACAAATACAGGTGAACCATTAATGAGGATGAGTCTAGATACGGGCTAAAGTTAGCTAGCCGTGTAGCTCAACATGTAGCGCACTGTGCTAACGAGGGGTAAGGGCATGGGTTCAAATCCCAGAGAATACATGACTCTTTCCATCACTCTGGATGACGCCACAAACACTGAGTTCAATTCTCCCACGTTATTCAAAAGCCTCTGCAATTATGGAGCAATGGCTGGTTGTATATTTGGTGGTATTACCAGTTAGGACTGGAAATGGGTTATCTGCACTGGAAATGGGTTATCTGCACTGGAAATGGGTTATCTGCAGAAGCCGCTGACCTCCTGCTGTGCGTCGACGTCGGCCCCACTCTTCAGCAGCATGTCTGCCACCCTCTCGCCTTCCTTCACCGTGGCAGCGATATGTAGCGGGGTCTCCCCGGCCTTTTTTCAGGGCCGTGACGTTTCAACAAGTCGGCGTCCCCAGATTCGCGGGACAGAAGCGCAGACAGGTCACAGCGTCGGTAGTAATGAAACGTCACAGATCACAAACGTGGCTGACGCCGGCCACCCGTCACGCCGCGTAAGGAGACCCGGTGGAGTCGAGCCCCCGGGTCTCCATGGTTACCCCACCCCTGCTCACCTTGCCCCCTTTGAGCTGGACCTGCGCCCCGAAGCCTAGCAGCATCTGCACCACCAGGGGCTTGCAGTTCTGCACGGCAACATGGAGCGCAGTGTAGCCATCTTTGGTCGTGGCATCCACTTGCGCCCCCTTGAGGAGCAGGGCCTTCACTACAGCCGTGTGGCCACGCTTGGCGGCGGAGTGCAGGCACACAGCACCCGACTAGGATGAGTAAAACACATTTATGCCGCCGCAGATTCAATGACTGGGCCTGTACTGCATCACGACCTAGAGACCCGTTGGTGTCGGATGCTTCCGTACGGAGGTGCCCGGTACTCGCCTTGTTGGGCATGTGCAGGGGCACGCCTTTCTTCAGGAAGGCCAGCGCCGTCTCGGGATGGCCGCACTGGGAGGCGATGTGCATGAGGGTGCTGCCATCCTGCAGAGCGAGAACCCGGCCGTGTGAGGAGGAGCAGGAAGATAAGCAGGAGGAAGAGGGGAACCTTGACGCGCCGTGAGGGGGCACATTAGCTTATTCATATAAACCCGTGACCTCCACAGTGCCCCTGGAGGCCAATGTGCCACACTGCTCCTGGACTGGTATCAACCTTTTTATACCACGCCTCTGATGAATTCTCAAATCTGATTGGTCAGAAGGGTGCTGATTAATTTTTTTTTTAATCGCACATGTAGTGCCAGTCAGGTGATTCACAGCAGAAAATCTGTGCATGATTTTAATCTTTATTTCTAACATTACTTAGCAGACACTGTAAAAGAAACGAAATCGCTATAAACTATTTAGACAGCAACAACGCCTCAGGCTGAAGACCAGGACCTGAAGTCAGGGATTAAATACCAACATAATTTACCGATGTAATGCACTTGTAGTCCAGTCATAATTTACTGTCCTGTGTAACCTGCTTAAACTGGATTGTTTTGTTTTAAAAATCGATAAACAGTAAACAACTGTGGTTTAATAATGCAGCTGAATTAATAAAGCAATGGGTGAATATATATGCTATATGAACAAAAGTATTGGGACACACCTCTTAATCATTCAATTCAGGTGTTTCATTCAGACCCATTGGCACAGGTTTATGAAATCAAGCACCTAGTTGTGTAGTCAAGTGTACAAACATTTGTGAAAGAAGGGTAATTCTGAAGAGCTCAGTGAATTCAAGTGTGGTATGTTCATAGGATGCCACCTTTGCAATAAGTCAGTTTGTGAAACTTCTTCCCTGCTAGATATCCCATGGTCAACTGGTATTATCGCAAAGTTGGACTGTTTAGGAACAACAGAAACTCAACCATGTAATGGCAGATAAGTAACAGAGCAGGGTCAACGAGTGCTTAGGTTACATCACACATAAAACCCGCCAACGCTCTATTTACTCAATACCTGCAGAGATCCAAACTTCCATTGGCACTAACCACAGCACAAAATCTGTATGCTGGGAGCTTCATGGAATGGGCTTCCATGGCTGAGCAGCTGCATGCAAGCCTTACATCACCAAGCATTATGCCAAGTGTCGGATGCAGTGGCGTAAAGCACACTGCCACTGGACACTGGAGCCGTGGAAATGTGTTCTGTTGAGTGATGAATCACACTTCTCTGTCTGGCAGTCTGATGGACGAGTCTGCATTTGTTGGATGCCAGGAGAACGTTACCTGCCTGACTGCATTGTGCCAGCTGTAAAGTTTGGTGGAGGAGGGATAATGGTATGGGATTGTTTATCAAGAACTGGACAAGGCCCCTTAGTTCCAGTGAAGGGAACCCTTAATGCTTAGGTATACCGAGACATTTTGGACTATTCTATATGCTAATAGAATACAGCCAAAGTTGAACAGAGTTATGACGTTATGGGGTAATTATAGGGTAAAATGAAGTAAGAGGGCCGTGCAGCCTCCCGTAAATCAGCACCTTAGTGCGTGCCAAGACGTTAGACTTGAACTTCTCTGTCAGGACCTCCACCACGTTTGTGTGACCACGTTCTGCGGCGATGTGCAGAGGAGACCGATCCATCTAGGTGGGGGAGGACAGCGGTGAGCCGCGGGGCTGGCCGAGGCGCCCCCCTCCCTCTCGACCGGCCCCTGCCCCCACCTTATCCACTATGTTGGGGTTAGCCTTGCACTGGTAGAGGAACTTGAGCAGGAGCTCGTCTCCCTCCCAGGCGGCCACGTGGAGAGGCGTCTGTCCTTCGTCCTGAAGATGGGATGACGCGGTCAGTGACTTGTGGGCCCTGAGACGCGGCCGTCCTGCACGAGCGGAACAGGCGCTTACGTTCTGCAGGTCCACGGCCGCCCCGAGCTCCACCAGGACCTTGGCCATCTCCACATCTCTTCTTCTGCAGCAGATATGGAGAGCAGCATCTCCTGAACCCTGATGTGGCCCCACAGAGGGCAAGGGGAACACACAGGCACTCAGCAAGTCGCACACACTCCTGAAGAATATTTCATTACATCACTTAGGCCTGTTTCTGTTTAGAAATTAGTAGCAAAACTAACTGTGGAAACACCTAGAATTTTGGGCATTACGCTTTAAAACTTATTACACAAATACTGGCAGTAATGCTTATAAACGATCAAAGAATGTTACAAATATCATACATTGGACGATTAAATAAGTAACCGGAGCAACAGTTGAATTAAGTTCTGTAATCCCTAAAATTGGATTACAGACAATTTTTACAGACAATTTCGCCCCTAGTATAAGGTTGCACAAGTAGATCAAATAAGACCAACCCTATTTACCCACGTACCTCATTTTCGTATAAGAAAATAGATTAGGTATTCTCTGTTATGTGTTATGTATCGTGTGTTCTTAGTTTTGTATTTTTAATTTCTCTCTTAATGGTTGTGTAAAGCACTTTGTGACTTCTGTCTGTGAAAAGCGCTATACAAATAAATTTTACTTACTTACTTAACGATTTAGGCATGCCAATTAAAATTTTGCATCGAATTTCCCGGGCAATCATTTGAAAAAAACAAAAACAGGAGAGAAGCAGAGAAACCCGTAAAAAGTGGAATATGGTGATTTGGCTGGACAGCACCTTCAGCAGCAGTTTGAACTTGTTATCAGATTTTCAATGGAATTTATTGCGGATTTAATCATAACTGGAAACACTGATTTTAAAACATTTTTTTCCATGTTGTAGGAACATATTTTATGGTGCTATTAAAGCATGTTTGATGACGTTATTAAAATACATTGTCAAATTAAAAGCAAGTATGGATGTTCTGACTGATATTCTGGCCTGGTTCTAGACTAACCCAGGTCCTTATCTCCCTTTGAGACTCTGAAGGCCGATTGTTTCGCTCCAACGGCTTTGGTTCCACCCACTCCATCCACGGATCCGCCACTGCTGGCTCACACCCATACTGGGAACCGGCTCTGAGCCCAGGAGCCAGAACCGTGTCATTAACTCTGCTTTGGGTTGAGGCGATTAAGAAAGGAGGGGAGGTGGGTGTGTGTGCGTGTGTGTGCGTGTGACCTGCACTATCTGTCTACCTTCCTCTGGACTCTGAGCTGAGGTTCTGTCATGGCTCCAAGAAGCTCCTTTACGATGCCGACATTTCCCGCCTCGGCAGCTAGGAACAGAGGAATGCAGCCGTCCTGAACGAGAACAATGAGAGCGAGCGGTGAATGCCTGTTTCCGTTTTTCCGCGGCTATCAGACAGGAAAATTGGGGAATAATCCAGAGAACAATGAGGAGAGCTACAGGGCAAATGCGCGTTCCGGCAAATACCGTCCAAATGATGACAATAAATGACGAACACACCCCTTCTGACAAACAAGGCTAGCTTTCACACAGGACACCGATTCCAAACATGCTCAGGGGTGCAACGGCAGTGCCAGACTGCGGCTAAATGGTACCTTGTCTTGTACGAGGCGCGCCTCTCTGCTGGAAAACTTGAGCAAGGTCTGGACAGCGGCGTGGGCACCGGCCGGGCGGGCAGAGGCACAGTGCAGTGCCAGCTGATCCTTGGCCTGAGTCACACAGAGTCGGTGAGCTGGGGGTGAGCTGGGTAGCCATCACGGTGTAACCCCAACACACCCGGCGTGCATGTCCGACGGAGATCTGTTCCAGTCCCTTAGCATGAGTTGCATTACACTGCTGGTGTTAGCTTAGCGCTTTCCCCGCCGTTCGCCGCTAGTGCTTACACCATAGAGGACAGCGTTAGCCATTCTCAGTTTAGCTTTGCTAAAGGGGCTTAGTCAGTCAAGCTGTGTTTTGCCCTGGAAACACCATCCTCGCTGGCAGGGATCGAGTAGGTGATGGGATCTTGCTGAGAGGGGCCAAGGTCTCCAATTTTAATAGAGCGTTCGTCACTTTTTCCCACGTAAAGGATGACGTGCTGCTGAGGCCGTGAGTCTGGTACATTTTTGTTTCTCTGAATTAGCCCTCACTTTGCTACCAGCCTCCCCCCCGCCCCCGACCCCCCTTCCCTTCCCTTCCCTTCCCTTCCCGCCGATGCCCAGCAGAGTCATTGTCAAACTTGGCGGCCCCTTTTCCCGCCACGCCGCCTCCGTTGGCATGTGACGGGCATGCCGGCCCCGTTGCCCAGTCACCCTCCTCCTGGGTGCTGGGGCAGAGTGTTTGAGTGACGAGGGGGAGAGGGGTGGGGTCTCTGCGGCAGCGTGGGAATGCCCTTCAGTGCCGGGCAGAGGCTCCGCCCCCTGGCTGGCTCCCCACCTTAAAGGGATTACCAGCAGCCATTCTCCCTGCTCCTTCGTCCTCCTCCAGGGATCTATTCAACTCCACAGCCATCACTCTCTTTCTGAAATTCAACAGCATGGGGGGGAGGGGCGCTGTTCCCACTGTTAGCTCTCCCCGAACAGCCCCCCTCCCTGAAGTACTGCTAATTCTGGCGGCGGAGTGATTGTGATCCCCGTGGAATGATCCTCCTCGTTAGCGTTCACGCTCTTTTATGGGGGAAAATGGTACTGAAAAGTACTGAGCTCCGTAATGTGACTGCCTGACTATTGCAGGTGAAGGTTCGTCCCGTCAGCGGGTGTGTAATGCTAACGAGCTACGACGTCGACACGAGAGTGCTTACACCGAAAAGGACACTGTTAGTCACGCTAGACAGGGCTGTGTGGGGGTGTGGTGAAGGTACATACCCCCCCCAGCACACTGGGGTCCACCCGCTTCACCAGCAGCCTGATGACCTCTTCCTTGGAGTGCGTGGCAGCCACATGCAGAGCCGTTCGCCCATCCTGTGGGGCGGGGGCATACAGTAAGGGGCACATCTTCAGGCATGCTCAATCCAGCCCCCCCCGATATGGCATAGAGCAGGTTTAACAAAGCCAGTGAAACCTGTCCTCCTGTGGTATAGCCCAGGCCAGGAGGTGGCGCCGGTGAACGTTACCCTCGCCTGTCGCTTGGAGACGTCAGTTTGGCACACGGGAGGCAAACAGATATTCCTGCAAGGTGGCTGAGGGGAAGAATCCGCCAAGCCGCAGATTCCAGAAGGGTGTCTGTCACGCTTCGTGGTGCAAACTTTACCACTCGTCTACTCAAAGCACCTTCATCCTCCTCATCACAGGTGGGGGGGGGGACTGTGACTTTGAAATCCCAACACTAGGGGGGAGTTCTGTTGACCCTTTTATGAAAAAACATCTGTTTGCTTCCTGGCTGTTGGTGGGAAGCTCTGAGTTTTTTTCCAGTTTGACCGGAGGCACCAGAGCGTTTACTTACACCAGCTATTGTTTACTTACACAAAAGGTACAGCTTTGTAACGAGACAGTGCTTTAGTCCCCTTATTTATTCATATGGGCATTTTTGGAGGCTCTGTTAACTATAATGGGGCAAGGTTCTCCCTCTGGAGTTTGAGGACACCTCGAGGAACGCATCTGGCCCTGGCAAGCTCTATAATGGTCTCTGTCGTAGCTGCTGAAATGTTGTCAATGACAAAAGGTCCAAGATGGTTTGTATTTTTTTTACTAGAGACAATGGAAGACCATCACAGGGCTCGCACTCACAGACCACGAGCACTTCAGTGTTACCCAGGCAGGGGGCGCTATGCCGGTCCATCGTAGTGGCTGGAGTGATTCCACAGGGCCAACATGCTAGTGATGACTGTTCTGAATAAGGCAATTCATTTAAAAGTAACAGGTAACTTGCAACATCTATATTCTTACAGTAGGGTTCATGATTTTATTGATATAATTTGAATTTTTAGGAAAGGCAAGGAATTAATGCATTTATAAAGCAAATGATCACATGTGGTGATATGATTTGCTCTCCAGATTTTACATAATCATCTTTTGTACCAACTCTGACAATGCCTGCTCCAGTCCTGTGACTCTCCATGGGAGAATTCAATAAAACCCACATATCATCTCAATTTACGCTGGTGAGGAGATTTATTTTTCCCAATTTACTTCCAACAGCTCCAAGCAAATTTGATGAAAGTCAGACGTATGCTAATGTTCGCCTCAAATTGCCTATACAAGGTGGTTCCACTCAGCTACCCCTTCGAAGCGTAAAAATATGTGGCTGCTAAACACGGCGCAACGTCCAGCGAGCTGCGACTCAGACGTGCCAAGGGTCCAGGGCCCGGCTGATCGCCCACAGGTATTCCACAAATTCCGGCAAAGAGAGCAGCTCATCTTTGGGTCTGGATCTGGGTCTGCACACGTGAGAGGTTCCATGTTTCTGCTGCCTCTCAACTCCCTATGAGTAGCAAAGACGTGGACCATCTGCTGGTCCCCGAAGACCGGATTGGGGAACACTGCTCTAGAACATTCCCCAATGTCCCAGATGGAGAAAGAACCGAACGGGCCCCTGAAATTGCTCTGCTCACCATAGGAACTGAAGCGCGACCTTCCCATCACGAGCACAGTGGTAGATCCTGGCAAGGGGAAAATGGGCCATTGCCCAAGCCGGGATCATCTGGGAGGGGGGGGGGGTGACTTAGCATACGCCCCCCACTGGGCAGTGGGCAGTGAAATTTGCAGAGGGGGGTGTGGGGTAGGTGCTGGCGGTGAAGCATTACCACTGCATGGGGAGGACAGTCCTAACCCACTGATCCGTACCTCGTCACAAACAAGCCCATTGTAACCGACCGACGAATGACTCCAGCCTGCTGAGTGTGTGGATGGATGGCGAGGAGAGCTTCATTCCTCGGTTACCGAGGCGGAGGGGAAGCTTGCGGCGGCCAGTCCCCCGGGAGAGGGGCGCTCTCCTGAAAGGCGGCGTTCCCAGCGCTCTCTTACAGCTTTACAGCCCGAGTAATTTGCTGAAACTTTATAGTGAGGAACACCGCAGAGCAGGAAGGAGGCCGCTGAGAATCCCACACCGTTACTGGGCTCCGCGCGCTCGCTCTGGGGGCGGCTGGCGCTTTCACGCCGGCGGAGAGCCGGCAAAGGCCCCGAAAGGAAATTAAAAGAGCCAGTTCGGGGTACGCACTTAACCAGAGCTAATCCAATTACCTAATTCACAGCACAACAGACATAAAACTCACAATCTGTCCCATCTAAGCTAGTCTGGTTCAAACAAAGCTAGCAACAGCGTGTAATAACTTTCTCCAAAAGTTTCCAGAAGAAAACTTGATATGCGCCATAATGTGTAAACAAGGACAGAATCACAGAATGCTGACCTCAGCGGTGAACCAAGAAGAATGAAATTCCTCCTCCTTCCAGCCTTCCTGTCTGAATCAGAATTCCTCACACACATGGATCTTCTTATTCTCCCAGATCCATACATCTCTATTGGGGCCGGAGACGCCTGCATGACCTCACCGGTGAAAACTGCTTTCTGGTTTTGTTATCCCCGGCCTACGGCGCGATGGAGGGCCCAGTTTGGCATGAGCTGACATCCCATCCGGCCGCCCTTCTGATGCAGCCCATGCCAACCACTTCAGGCTCGTTCAGAAAAGGCATAACAGAGCCATGCCCCGGCGGTCGGGAACCGGAGCTTTGGGCACGAGTCGACGTCTCGAAGGTCTGCGGTGATCATCAATCACGTCTCCTCTAAGTAAAACTCCCACCAGCTGAAGACACATCATTACAGACGGCCTGACGTTTTTGCCCAGAGACAGCAAGATTATGCGGTTACAATATATTACATTTCAGCTGCAGTAAGTATTTATTGATGATGAAGGTTTTCTTGAATTAATTCAGTGAAAACCAGCTTTAAGAACTTCAGAAGCACTTCCAAACTTCTCAGAAGGTCTTAGTCAAAGTCAATTCACTCCCGACGTGTTCCACATTACGTTCATCCATCTTCCATAACCCGTTATCCCAAAACAAAGACTGTGCTGTTTCACAGACACGTTAAAGGAACTTTGCTCAATCAAAGAGCCTCAGATTGAAAGTCTGGTGCTTTACCAGTTGACCTTTCTGAGCTGTTGAATGACACATTATGTCATAATACACATATGAGAATGACACAACAGCAGATTGTTGAGCTCTGTTCTTGAAGGTGTTGAATGAGCTCTATGATAATCTATAATTCCGTATTTTCCGAGCTGTAAATCTGTTCTAATGTCAAATGCTGGACCATCTGGAAAATCTGTAGACTATAAAAGTCGCTTTGATAACGCCCAAAAGTTCCCTTTAGTAAGAGACTCTGCCGTCGTTCCAGGCTGGGCCAAATGTTACCTCCCCCCCCCCGAATTAGAGCAGAGTCTCCGACAACCAATTCTCCAGTGACACCCCCACTAAAGGGACATCAATCACGGCCGCAGGCGTGGATGGATTGCAGTGGACCTCGGGGTCCATTCAAAGCCATTATCAAGTTCTGAGGAGCATTAAAATGCATGTCTATAGTCTTCCAGCCAGCATTCAGTCATAAACCAGACCTTTATTAAATCCATTCTGATGCCACATCCTGTTGTTATGCCGCTGCGGATTTAGTAGCGGGTTTCTGTGGTCATTCCATTTTCTGGTCTCAAGATGTTACTAATTTAATCCCCTTGGGGACCGAGGCTGCGTCTTGTATTGATTCAATTAATTTAATACTAAATTAAATTTCCATGCCACATCGACAATAATTGTTAGACTGGCATTTTATCCATATTAAGTGCCCTTATATTAAGGAAGAAAAAAGCATTGGAATGTAATAAGAATGTCTCCTAGTAAAAATGGTGCAGAGAAAATTATCCGAGCTTTTATTCCCCAATCACAATTAACACCAAGAGCCTAATTATTCAGCCATTTGGCAAATGAAAAGAAAACTGAAAGTTTTTACATTACAATTTGGGTTAAGCACTTCTCATTGTCTTCAGCAAACATACTGAAAGTCTATAACTGTTATACTCATTTTTGGGTACGGCTTTCATAATAAGGGCCAGCTGAGTACAGCCCCCCCCCCCCCCCCCCCCGGGGCCGGCGGGGTCCCCCCCCCCCCCCCAGTGTTTCCCAATCCGATCTTCGGGGACCCACAGACAGTCCACATTTTTGCTGCCTCTCAGCTCACTACTGGTAGAAAAAAAATGCGGACTGTATGGTAGGGAACTGGAAGGGAGCAAAAATGTTGACTGTCTGCAGGTTCCAGAGGACCGGATTGGGAAACACCGCTGTAGAACATTCCCCAATGTCCCAGACGGACAGACCACAGACGGCGAGTTGCCCCCACAGTTGTGGGCCGACACAGAGCATCACCCAGCTACTTAGTCATGCAGCCGCTTCTGAATACAAGACACCCGCCTCTGTGGTTATTTTACGCACCATAAATGACCATCATGCTCAACAAAACACTCACTAATGTACATACCTCAAAGGGGCTCATCTCATCCAGCTATGGACCAAATACACTGATCTTAATGCCACTAACAACAGGCAGAGATATTAGGAATATAAAAAAAGACAAGCACAAAAGGTCAAAAAGTACATACTATGACAACGGTTGTAAATTCAGTGTTGGGGGGGTGCCCTCAAAGGAGGACACATTTTCAGCGTACGGTAGGGACGCCTTATGTGTGCCTTTGTGCCAAGGAAAATGAGCCTCACTTTAAATGGAGAAAGGGGACCACCATTAATCTGTGGGCACCTTCTCTGAAGAGGCAGCAGTCAGGATTTGTTGGTTTGACACTTGGCCTACCGGACGCAGCGGTTCAAGGAGGATGACCGACATCTCGGACAGAACCACCGGCGATATCCCGAAATGTCAGCCGTAAACCAGGCCACCTCATGCTTTACTGCACTAACCATGTATCTCCCCCCTCAGTCTCCATCTGACCTTTTTCCAAAGACACAGACCCCCCACCCTCCCAACAGTGCTGCAAAAACTTATTTCACAATGTGACTGAATAGCAATTTCAACCAGTAAAAGAAAGGTGGAAAATTCGTGCAGGACGGAAAAACTACTAAATTGCTTAATTACTCTGCCGATGCTTTTCGTTTACACTTAATTTTTTTTAGAAAAACCATTAGCGAAACAATTAATTTATTACAAGGAATACAAGAGTAGGGCCTATTGCATGTACAGGAAATTGGAAAATTAATATTGCACGTACAGTACAGATCTAGTACTCGCTTGCCATGCATTTAATTCACCGTTGATGTGCGGTTTGTACCTTGGTCCGTTCATTGGGGTTCACTCCCAGCTCAAGCAGCCTCTCGACTATACTCAGCCGATTCTCTTTGACTGCAATCATGAGTAGACTCAAGCCGGACTCCTGCAATTACACACCAAGAGAATGAGTCCATTTCTGTCCCGTCGGATGCTCAATAACATGACTTTGCGGGTATTTTTTTTTTTTTTTAAATAATCGTATATAAACAAAACTGTAAAAGGGAAGGTCTGCCGCAATGCCCATTATTAAGAAATTCAGACACAGTTTTCACGAAGCAGGATTTTAAAATTACTTAAAACTATATAAAACAATGTTGGTGTATAGCCTATATATTTAACTATAGAGTAAATACATTAGGCAATTAGTGATCGGTTACTCTTTCAGAGTTAAAGAAAGCGAAACAACTATTGAAACAAGTTTAAGAAAGCTGGAGACACGCTGATTTACCTCGTCAACCTGCGCGATGTCCGGCTCTCCTTTCTGTGTCGCCCTGATGCTCTGCTCCACCGCAGCCCAGTCTCCGCGGAGCGCCAGCTGCAGCGTCCGCTGGCCAGGAGCGCCCGGTGCGGCGCTCATACACCAGCTTTCGGACATATTCAAATACAGTATCCTAATAAAGGAGATCAACTAGATTTAGCTTCCCGGCATTTTAAGAAAACTCTTCAAAGCGCTTCTCCCTTGAAATCTTTCGATGCAAACACTAATATTACGATTGTCCCACTATTTGCATTTATGGTAGGTAGGCGTTTTGACAGCGTTAATTGACGCGACTTTTAGTGCATTATTTAGAGGAAGACTTTGATAGCGCTCCGTTGCTTCTGTCTCCGGTAATCATCGCCAATCTATTCACAGGGGCTAGTTAAACTTTTCTAACTCCGCCTTTGTTCTCTCGTTACCTTGGATTCAGCGGATTACCAAAAAAGTCTTGTTTTCGCCACAGTATGGGAAGAGCTGCCCTACCGCACACACACACACACACACACACACACACACACACACACACACACTGAAAAGATGCCTGTAAATTAAAATGATGAACTAATTTTAACGTCTGCTGGTAGATTTGCAATCCAGCAAAAATAAAGTTAGAAATGACACAATTTAAGCAGTCCTTCAAAAATCAAGTGGAATCAGCAATCCGTAGCTGTTATGTATTTCTGCAAAATGTCACCATTAAAACACACTAAAAGCAGCATAACCTCTTTTTGACGCGAAAGCTATTCCCTGACAAGCAATTACGGTAGAAATGCCATGCTAACCTGAATTTGCAGATTATTGTTCGATTTATTAGTAGCGCGTAATGACGGCCATTACATTAATATCTGTATATTATGTACTGTATAGGACTTATAAAGTATATAATAACCATCCCTTATACGGGTTTTTACCACCATGACTGATGAGTGCTGTTTTGTACTATATGCCCAATTATCGCATATGACAGCAGCAACCCGACCGCCCCCCCCAAACCCGAGCTGCCTTCTTCAATTCCTCCTGGTCTCTTTTAGTATAGACCCCCTTCCTTTACCTTGCTTGATTAAACTGCCGACTTATAGTACAGATTAATTTTGTGAAGTGCGCTGACTAATGTATTCCTGTGAAGTGCCAAAAATACAGTTCCGTACTGAATAACCACACAAACACAGCTTTATATTGTGGGATTTAATGAAACATGATTATTACATCTAAACTGAGAAGCCCATGTGTTTTCGTACTTAATAAAGGTAGTTAAAAGTAAAACACTATAAATACACATTTTCAGACTTTTAAATATTAAAAATCCCTATAGCCTAGTGAAATGAAAAAGATATAATTTTTGAAAAAGTAATACTACGGTTCGTATATCCATGTTTTCTGTTATGTGTTCTATAAAATAATTACATTAAAACAATATATCAGCTGGATTGGCAGTGTTGAATGTTTGTCTAAAACTATGTCACTAATAGGCTTTCGTACCATATTACATTTTAATTTTAGTTTTTATATGCATTGGACCATCCCAGAAAAACATAACAGTGTTTTTATTTTCCGTGTTGTGCACCACCCCTTTTGAACAGTTATAATATCTGGCTGAGTGTCTGTTGCCGTAGTAACCGAGATGTCAACACTGAAAAGTCCGACGTGGTAAAGGGCCCGGCTGTGTTTCATAGCAACTGGAAAATATAATACGAAGAGCCATTACACATGCCGCTCAATCTCTCTGGTATATGGCACTCTAAAGGTACTTGACCGGTTATTTTCTCTAATTTAAAGAAACGTTTTATTTATATTATTCTCTAATCTTAGGGAATTTAACGGTAGTCTGCAATGGGGAGATTTACCTTTTCCTCTAGCCTTTATCTACCTTGGAACAAAAAAAAAAAAACAGTGGACTCTCATGCATCTGGATGTAGTATTCAAAAGTATTGATTTAATATTTTTACTAGTTATTTTTCACGATTTTAGTAAATTTAATTCTGCAATTTATTTCAGAGAAGCGGAACGGTTTGTTGAAGTCTTGATTCCCCACGGAGCCGATAGCGCCGGGAACCGCTGCGGGGCGGAACGTCAACAGAACCAGCTTAAGGGAGGCGACACGCGTGCCTGCGGCAGTTCGACAAAGAGGAAAATGTTTAAAAACACATTTCAGAGTGGATTTCTGTCCATTCTCTACAGCATCGGAAGCAAACCCCTCCAGATATGGGACAAAAAGGTAGCTTAACTTACATTGTATTGTACTGTTGGCTTTCATATAGCGACATCTTGGGTGCCATTCCAGGCGTATTCGAAGCCGTTTCAGGTTTATAAAAGCTTGTGTTTTGTACGCGATGAAGCTTAATTATGTAGCTGTACGAGTGCTCTTTCTAGCTAGGGGAGAACATTAGCTTAAGTTGTTTAGCTAACTATGTTGTTCAACCGCGCGTATGAAATCATCGTCTGTATATAGAAATCTGGTATTTGTATGAATACTTTGCATCATGTTAGCATTGTGTCGTAGTCGTTGTTATATACTGAATACGAATGGTAGCACTGTTGTCTCACACCTCCAGGATTGGGGGTTTGAATCCAATTTCTATTCTGTGTATGTATGGAGTTTGCATGTCCTCCCGGTTCGCGCGGTTTTCCTCCCCCGCAATCCAGAGATATGCAATTAAGTAGCTTATCTAATATTACCCGAATTCTGTAATTGTGTATATGAGTGTGCGCATGTTTGTACCATGTAATGGACCCCACTCTTGTGTTCTATACTGCTTCCAACCCCCCATCCTGAATTGGCGGATCAGCAGCGTTAGGCTATCTTTTTTTAATGTGTGACTTAATATTAACAGGTGAGAAACGGTCATATCAAGCGGATAACTGACAACGACATTCAGTCTCTAGTGCTGGAAGTGGAGGGGACCAATGTTAGGTATGGATTTTATTTAATTTATTAGTATTCCATGAAATCAATTGACACATTTAAGTAAAATTCTTTTTCTGTTTTCTTTTCATTGAACAGTACCACATACATCACCTGTCCAGCAGACCCAAAGAAGACCCTTGGAATTAAACTCCCATTCCTGGTTATGATCATCAAGAATTTAAAAAAATATTTCACCTTTGAAGTTCAGGTAAGGCAATAACTGTCACCATTAAACTATGTAATATATAATCTTATTCGATATTGTATTGATATACATTATAATTTTGGTACAGTTATTCTATATAATAGCCAGCTTCTTTATGAAGAGACAAAGTTGAGACACAGGACTCACGTGTGTATTTTTGGTTGTTGTGCTGACATTACCCCCCCCCCCCCCCCAGGGCCGTGATATGGCTTAGTGGCAGGTGGAATTGACAGAATCTGGGCATTTTTAATGTCAAGGCTCTTGTCCTAAGCTCTTCGCGATTAACTTCCAGGTTCTGGATGATAAGAACGTCAGGCGACGGTTTCGGGCGAGCAACTACCAGAGCACCACGCGTGTGAAGCCCTTCATCTGCACCATGCCCATGCGACTGGACGACGGCTGGAACCAGATCCAGTTCAACCTCTCCGATTTCACACGGCGGGCCTACGGCACCAACTACATCGAGACGCTCCGGGTGCAGGTGAGCTGGTGGAGATGAGGGGGTGTCCCCCAGCTGGAAGACACTGGTATTGGGTGTCCACTGCCACTTAAACTGGAACTATTTGCCAGCATCTGTAAGAACATTAATGTTAAGTACCTGTGTGCGCTATTCCAGATCCATGCAAACTGCCGCATCCGAAGAGTGTACTTCTCCGACAGACTGTATTCAGAAGATGAGCTTCCGGCGGAATTTAAACTATACTTGCCGGTTCAGAACAAGGCAAAGGTGAGCAGCGTGTGTACAGGGCAGAAATATGTACATGATTTAAATATTTCAATAGTGATCAGTCGTACTCAAACATAGATAAGGGTGTGAACTGGATTCTGCAGTCGTTTCATGTTTAGGGCAGGGTGTGGCTCAGTGGGCTAAGCCTCTGTGTCTGTGATAAGGTCGCCGGTTCGAGTCAGGCCTTGGGACCTTGAGCGAGGCCCTTAACCCCCAGCTCCCTGGGTGCTGCTGTGGGTGGCTGCCCTTTGCAGCCAGCTCGCTCTCACCTCCAGAGGGCAAGTTGGGAGAGGTGTAAAGAGAATTTCCCCATGGGGATCAATAAAATATTATTATTATACTATCAATATATGGTATGATATATTGGGCAGATCAGAAATACTGTTTTTAATAATGAATATATATTTTTCTGCTCAGAATATATGGAAAATGTTGAATGTTCCCTGACTCACAGAAACCTTTTTTTTTTTCCCGCAGCAGTAGCCAAGGCTCCCCCCCCCCCCGATCTTAATTTTGAACTTCAGTTTGTCCCTCTGCACAACATTGAGACCTATGATGACAAAGATCAATTGTTTTTGTGTAATTATTCCTGAACCATGTCATTGTTTTCCCTTAATGTATGATCTTGTTTAATGTATTTTCAATAAACTGTTTATAGATTGTAGGTAGTTACCGTGTACATTTTATTTGGACATATTTAGAGCAGATTTGGGAGGAGGGCAATGTGCCAGGAATATTAATGTGCAATTTACAGTTAAAGAAAACAAATAGGCATTTACAGTAGTCAGATTCCACAGGCAGGATTTTATTTCACAAGTATAGTAGCTACCAAACTGGGAGCTGCAAACATTGAGATTTTGGGGCAAGAACAGAACGAGTACAAACATCTTTTTAAAAATTGCCTAGTATCACAATACCAGGTTGGCCCTGATATTTAAAAGCATCTGTTGAGCCTCATTTTTCAAAATACACCAAAACCCCATGTCTTAACTGGAAACAAAAAAAATAAATCATATTTGTACGTGGACGGATTGAGTTATTACGTTTTTAAACTAGTATGCAAAATTAAGGCGGACAGGACATCAAGGTCTGCAAAGGCAGATTCCAATGCTATGTTCCAACTTGGACCAAAACTACAGTGGGAAAAGTCAGACTTATCCAATATATACTGTAATGTACTGACAGGTTCTTACAGCTAAATGCAAAAGTTGCATTCAGTTCCAACAAAATTACAGCAATATCACCCTCATGAAAGTCTCCTAAAATAATATTGTTTCTAAAGTAACGGATTTTCAAAATGTGTTATTTGGTTAAGATTAAAGCCAGTAAGAGCCTAATTACAGCTCTTATTAAAATGTATTCAAAACAAATGGAGGAAAAAAAACAGGATGGCTTTTCAGCTACAGGAAATGAGCGGAACTTTGACAAAAATACAGATTAACTGTACGGCTCAGAAAAGGTTCACATTTCCATCATATGCAGGCAGAAATTAATACCATGGTTGGTCTCTTTGAATACCCGTTACAGGTATTTTCTAATTTGGATCGCTTATCAAAAAATAGAATTTCAGTTACATTACTATGCATTTTTATAATTCTTTACTTGAGGAGATATATACAAACAGACGCAATGGCACGGAAAAAAGGAAGCTGCTCTTATAAACGGCCCAAGTCAGGTCAGTTAGCGAGTGCTTTAAAATCGCTGTAAAGCGAACAGCTCCAGGAAAGGAATTTAATCAGACAAATACAAATTTAATACCCCAACATCTATCAGGCAAAAATCACGTTAATTATACACGACTTAATTAATTAACTGCCCGTTAATTAACGGGCAGTTAAAACGTGCGAACCCACGCCGCAAAGTTCCGCAAACCCGAGCTTGCATAAAAGTGCACTGCGATTAAATTTATGTAAATAAAAATAATCAACTCTAGTCTTTAGTGTATACCACTAACATTATCCATGGCATTAAAGGAGTCTGCAATCGCAAAATGTGACAATTAATGGTGCCACAATGAAAAAAAAAGATTTAAAAATGACCAGAATAATGGAAACGTGTGGATCCAGTATCCCATGTCAGTATGTGCATAAAAAACCAAATATTTCAAGTAAATAATAGAAATGCAATAAAAAAAAAAGAACTCCGATGTAGCTGCAATGGTGCATGATGGCACGTGATTGTTATGGAGCTCAAACCGTTGAGTGCAAGGTTGGGGTGGTTCAACCGAGGGCAAGGAAATTAACAACCTTATTCCCCCCCCCCCCAGATTCATTAGCCACAAAATGCTCTTTATCTATATAACACTTACATACAACGTTCTCAAAAATAAAATACATTTATACCTGTTGTTATTACAGAATAAACAGACTCAGTCTGCCCCCTCTACTGGCGACTGCTGGAAGTGCAGTACGTAATAGTCATGGACGTACATGAGCACAGCGATGGGCTGGCCAATGATCAGCGAGATCCACACCGCCGCGTTGCCGTAGTTTCCTCGAAGAAATCGGCCCACGAACCAGGCTAGGGGAATCTGAATCAGGAAAGTCAGATGAGGCTTTTCCCCCCAGAATTTAATAAAACAAAAGATACACCTAAATTTAGAATATAAGAGTTCTTTTTTATTTATCCCAGTAGGGAAATTCTATTTTCACCTATCCTATCTTGCTTCACATGAGACACACAGGTAGAAATACAGGTGAGAGCGCGAATGGGGGTCACAGCACGGGGTCAGCCAGCGTAAGGGCCTTGATCTGGGACGCAACAGTGCCATCATTCTGACAGCTGCAGGATCTGAACCGGCAACCTTCTGATCCCCAGTCCTAAGCTACAGAGCGGCACACTGCCCCCCCGACCCAGAATCCGACCCAGAACATTTATATAGCAGAATCATGAGATATGTGAAATGTGGCTGACGACTTTGCTGACCTGCGCCATCATGCCCATGAAGGCCCACAGGCGGAACATCTTCAGGGGGACGCTCACCAGGTACTGGGAACACAGCAGAACACACTGCAGGTCATCTCCTATGTGGTCACCCGTTACCCATTAACTGTGCGATACGAAAGCAAGCTGCGCCCCTTTTCTCCTGCATCTACTCGCACATGCTTCTCCCGGGGGCTTAGCGCCTATTATAAGTTCCCCCCCCCCCGCCCCCCGCCGCCTCTCAGGCTTGTGGGCAAACCCTAGATGCTGCATGTCCTCTCTGCCGGTGAGGTACCAAGCACGAGGTAGCCATGGCTACCGTGATCTGGCAACCGGCTGCTTCAGTAATATGGTCTGGCTGTGCTCCTGTGGCAGGAATATGCGTCAAAAATGCAATGTGGTCGTGGCTGTAGCCCGGGAACGTCCCCCCCCCCCGCAGCCTCACCTCGTGAAAGAAGGCCGACATTAGGAAGACCGCAGTCTGGGCGACCCACTTCTGGACTCCTTTCCTCAGCATAGGCTTGTAAAAGTGCCTTTTAGGGAGGGGACACACATTTCAAATTAAAAGTCTGGGGCTGAGCATGGGTGGAATATGGTGCAGTTCTTAAAAAAATTAATAGGTGGATGTGAAAAAGCTGGATCTTTAAGGATGATAAAATATATGGTATGGGGAAGAGAATGGGAAGAATTATGGAATAAGACCCAGGTCCTTCATGCATATTATATACATGTTTTCATGACCCTTACTTTGCATAATTCAATGACAAGACTGGATAAGTGGATGAACTGAAATGTTTTATTTTGTTAAATGCATCTTGTGTCCAAACCCCGCACAGGGTTGCTCACCGGAGACACCACTTGTGTACCGGAATGTTCCAGTTCGCCCAGAAGTATGTGACTGTCTCAGAGTTCCTGCAAAAACAGGTCACCTGTTTAGAGCCCGTGGGGAAGCCGTTGACGTTTGGGGGGGGGTCGTACTCAGGGGAGACAGTGCCTGTGCTGCGTATAACAGGCCGAAGAGTGAGGGGGACAAATTTCCAGCGACACACGAACACACGCAGGAACACACGCAGGAACACACGCAGGGACACACGCAGGGACACACGCAGGGACACACGCAGGGACACACGCAGGGACACACGCAGGAACACACGCAGGAACACACGCAGGAACACACTCGGCTTAGATTACTGGCACGCCTCCTTAAAGGAGACCCCTTATCTCTCCCACTGCAGACACACAGCTACTGCTTTTAAGCTGAACTAACATCCTCTGGGCGTCAGTCTAGCAGGGACAAACAGGAGACAGGGGAGCCGCCGTGAAGGGATTTAGCAGGCAGATAATCTCCCAGGGGCCCGTGGAAGCGGCCGTGTGCTTCCCATTCCACTCCAGGCGGGGCGGCGCGCGTGGGGGGGGGCCCCCTTTCACTGCGGTGGCCCTCGGCGTCCCGCTGAGCGTGTCGAATCACGCACAGAGGACATTTTAAATGGCTCTGGCATTTATCTGTTCCACGCTAATAAGCCACGATGACGGGGCGGGGGGAGCGTTCCGGGCTGGTTTGCAATAAAGCGCTCCGTTTTTGAAAGCAAATCATAATTTTCCTGTACTCCCGGTGCCCCCCGGCACTGTGCATGAAACCACACCTGCAGTGGATGTTATTACCATGCTGTGAAAAATGCGCCTCACTCTGTGATCTGCAAGGCCACACACTCTGGATCCACTGCTTCACTATGACACGCTGCTCATGCTCTTGGTTCACTGAGAGCCAGGTCAGCCCCCCCCCCCCATATAATCCCCATTCAGTGAATTCCTATTCTCTGCCTGACACTGTTTAATACTCTGGAAAAATCCCAGTTCCATAAGCCAAAAAGGTGATAGAAATGAAGCAGAGGCCCATCTCCAGATGGCTCGCAAAACCTAATCTTCATTTACAAAAGGGAACGGAGGTTTATTTAAGTCAATTAGGGCAAGGGCATATATCCACAAAATCTCAAGCATAAAGTCTATGCATGGAGACACACACACACACACACACACATTCACGCTGGTGTTTTAGGCAAGGACATTCAACTGTTCAATGTGGTAATTTTAATATGAGATTTAATTCCATGACTAATGAGAAATTGATTTTTTGACTTCCATTTCATTTCTCAGATTTTTTTTTCCAGAATTAATTCACACAAAGGAAGCAAAATACACACATTTCTAGCAGAAAAATCACAGTTTCAGCACATGGGGAGAGGGGAAAAAAAAACTGGGGATCAGTGACGGTAAGGAGAGCCAGGGAAGGTGTGTGGCAGGGAGGGTGAAGGAGAGTGAAGGAGATCCACTTACCACCAGTCTCTGTAAAACTCCCTGTCCCCAAACTGCATGAGCTCAGCTACAAAGTTCATGGAGGAGTGGAAAAACCAGTAGAAAAAGATCAACCAAATGAAGTGATTTGGCACCTGTTAGGTAGATAGAGAGAAGGAAACCTTGTGTCTTCACACTGGTTTGGAGCAGAAGCGAGGCCAGCAGGTTTCTGTGTTTA